TGACATTAAATTGATGAATAGTTTTGGATTGTACTACACAGCCAATGCCTTCAGTAGACTTCTGCAGGCCCACTCAGGAGTGAGTCTTAGTCTGTCACTTTCACAAATGAAATCATTTCATAGATGAAAGTAATTTTTTGAGTGATCTTACTTCATTTTTTACTTTTTTTTTCCTCAAGAGCTAGTGACACAACAGCAATAAAAGTTAAGGCTGCTTAATTTATTAATCTGTGCAGTGCCCAGATAAAAAAAAATCTTATTATATTGTGAACAGTTGCACCAGTCACTGCCTGCTTCAGGACCTTGCACTTCTTAATTTCTCCCTTCAGTAGTTATTTCAGTCATTCAGCACTTTAGAAATACACTGCAACATGATTAGAAATTTTGTGGGGCGATCAAGCCATTTGTCATAAGATTACTAACTACCTAGAGTTTGAGTTATTAAATACACAGATCCAAATTTAAAGAACATCCAAAACATACACAGATATTCAGAGTCAAGACTTCAAAGACAGACATTGCTTTTTACATATGTATTTCAAATCTGATAAAATAAATAAAAGTTCATGGTGTGGTGGTTTAGAGCTTTCAGGCCATTTCTCAAGGGCAGGTATTTTGGGGTGAGTATTTAAGGAATTAACCATTTTTCATTATTTTATCTTTTCCATTCAAGACTCAAGAAATAAAGAAAATGTATTCTGGACTGCAGATGAGATGAATTTGGACTGTGACTTTAGTCTCCCTTAGCTTTCTGTGTGAAGAGCTGTATTGATTTGCTGCTTAAGATGCTAGACATGCATGTGGTCCTGGATTCTAGCTGAGATCTGGAATTCAAATACATTTGTTTCCATGTGTTCCGAATGATGAGAACAGTGACTCTTCTGACTGTCACAGCATTCTCTAAAGCTAATTCTGATCTGACTATTTCTGCCTCATATTCTCTGATCTGCTTTTAAAACAGAGTATTTTGCTTAAATGCGTGCCTCTCAAGCTTTAACAACCTCTTTGAAACTTGATACCAAACTTATTTTTATTTACAATGCAAAATAGTTAATAATGTCTTCAGTCCCAGAAGAAATAGTGCTGTTTCTGACTCAGCGACTTTTGGTTGTATGTTAATCTAGTGTTTAAAAAAAAAACAACAAAAAAACCCAAAAACAAACCTCACAATGTCTTCTGTCATAAATTGCTGTAGCTGTCTTATCACACGTTCTTTCTTACTTTAAGAATAACTGTAGGTTTCTTTAAAAAAATAAATAAAAATTTAAAAAGCTTATTTATTTGCATCTGATGACACACAGAAATTCTGTATGGACCAACCATCTATTGATGGGTTCCAAACAAATGTACTTTGCCCACACTAGTACAGCATCATATTTTGAAGGCATAATGTTAAGCTATGTTCCGCTCCCCCCCCCACCCCAAAAAGCAAAGCAAACAAAAAACGCCACCTAAAATTGAATCATAACTTAAATATTGTCTCTTATTAAGGTAGATAATGATTGTGGAAGATGTTAATGATCACATCTGAATGACTTGTCAGAGAGGGAATATGGCTAGGAGCATGTAATTGCTTTCAAATTTTTTCAGGTTTAAGAAAAGAATTTTACATGTTTGCAAGGTACCACCCACTCAGTGGCTTGTGTAGAAGTGCTCTAGTTTGCAAAGCAACATAATGAGCAGCTAGTGAGGATGGTTTTCCCAGCTGCCAAAGGGTTTCACAGAGTTGTAATGATTGCCATACTACTGTCAAGCTCTCATGGACTAAATGAAGGTTTTAAAGCATGTTTGGTGGGTTCATGGGTGGCTGTTTTTTTGAATGTTCTAGAAATGCTAGCTTTTTCCTAAAATACCAAGACACAAAAGGTGAAGTGCAAGTAGATCTGTTTGGCTTTGTGCAATAGTCACGAGTGTGAGACCTAACGGGAGAACTGCCATTTTTCCAAGATCACGTCAGCTAACGTGAGACTGAATTTCTACCTAAGATGACTGAGATACCCAAGACCCTTATCAGCTCTTCCGTAGAAGAGCCCTCTTGGCATCTCCCAGAGTTACTGTGTGGTGGATGATATAGAAAGTCATCTAATCAAGGTGTTTTTATGGTTGATCGCTAATAGGCATTTTTAAGAGTTGCTGAAGTTTAGGCACTTAATGTAATCTTCTTTCGCCAAAGTACAGAGCACTAACAGCTCCAGCTGAAGACAAAGCTGCTGTTCATTTATTATTAAAAGTGCTATACAGAGAATTTGGAGAATTAGATTTTGGATATGACAGATCAGTGAAACAATTTATGGAGCTGTTGATGCTAGACATTTAGTGTTTAACTATTGTATCTGTAAAATTTTGTATTTTCATCTTGAAATATGTCATGACCCCTGTTTTCAAAAGCACTGGAATGTATGACATGTAGAAGCCTTCACAGCAGCGAGAAGCCTCCTGTGCTAAAGTTTAGGGCAGTACATCTTGTAGTTGATTATTCATGAGATTCTGAGGGGGAAGAAATAGCATTTGATCACATAATTGTTTTGTCTAGTGCTTCCTAGTTTTGAACACTTTGTTTTGCAATGCTACTAGTGTTAATTCTGTATGTGGCTTATGTATAGCATGCACAATTTTTTCTTTTTAATATTCATTTAGTGGTAGATTATTGACGGTTTTGTACGGAAAGGGAATAATCCACAGACCATAAAACTTGAGCCACTGTTAGATAGCCTTCTATTACTACTGCTTTGTAGAAAATACATGAAACTTGGTATAGTGGAATGCTATGGAGTTTGCCATAACTTTTGAATTTTTCCCACTCGGTCTGTAAACTTGCAGTAAAAACAGAACCTGTACATACTACGTAAGTATAGATAGGATGCCTGTCACCTCTGCTTTATTAATATTGTTGGGCTTGGGTGCATAGGCCATTGAGCAATCAATGAATCTTAAATACCAATCTCACTTAGTAGTATCTAGTCTTTGCATTTCAGTAGTTGTTCTCATCTAATTTTGCTGCTACCTTTCTGATACTACATTGGTTTTCTCTGTTCTGTACTACTTGATGCGCAATTCTGAATTGCATACTGCACCAATTTGGTTCTCAGTGCTTCAACTGCTATGAAGAGACTTCTGGCAATCTGTTTATTACATTAAGTCCAACTATGCTTTCTATTCCAAAGTAACTTATTAAAAACAGTTGTCTGCCATGTGGAATGTTAGTATCTGATTTATTTATTTTTTTACCTACTAAAATTTCTTTGGAAATTAATTTTCTGTTTATCAGATTAAGCTCTCATAAGGGTGCTTGGACTTTCACATGTACAGACATACACTGAACTGAAAATGTGTAAATCTGAGATATTGAAAAGAATTTTTCATATTAATCTGCATTTGCTAATCTATTCCAAAGTTCATTTAATATCAAGACAGTGATCTGTACATTGGTAAATTTTCATCCTAAGAAACAATATTAACTTTTTAGCTTTACAGAATGATGAGGTATTACATCAATGTTTACTTACTGTAAACTGTGCCCCTGAGCAGAGAAGTGCACGCAGCATGCATCTTCAGAGTGGGAAGCCTGTTTTTCTGATTATTTGGATAAAGGGGGTGCACAAAAATAATTGTGCTATTACTATTCAAGTCTTGATTATTTTAAAAGCGTTCTTTAACTGCCAGCATCTAAAAATCAGAGAAAAGTGACTTTTCCCTCTTTCCCTCTTTTGGGAGGACCATATGGATAAAAGAATTTTTGGAAATAAAGAGTTTAAGGACAAAGGTAAATGACACACCATCTTTAGCAGTTTGTGCGGTACAATGATTCTACAAATTATTTCTTCACTGAAAGTTGAAACGTGTTTGGAAGTGATTTAACTTACAGGAACAGATAAATAACATGTAAATAAAATACAGAGTATGATTATAGAAAGTGCCTCAAACTGCTTATAAAACTTTCAAGGAGGTTAAAAGATACACTGATGAAAAGAAAATTTGTTTGTTTAGAGAAAAAGTCTAATACAGGAAGCCAATTTTCCTGCTGTTGAAAAGTTAGCTTTAATGTTTAAAAACCTGATGCTGAGTTAAAGGATACACTAATTGGAGGGGTTTATATTGCTTTCTTTTTCAAAAGCAGGGCAGTCTTGCATGACTTTGTGGTTTTTAACATGTATTTTGTTTATAACAAGTAAGATCGTTCTTATTTATGGTCTTTATTTGTGGTACCTAATAGTTTTTGGGGCAGTTGAGCAATCTTAAGCTCCTTAATTCTTATAACTATATTTTTCACAGACTATTGTCTCATTTGGTGGGTTTACTTTCTCAATGCAGTAAGTGCGTATACTTACATCTGTTGACTAGAAACTGGAAATTGGGAATTGAATGTCATAGATGTAGGTCATGCTTGTATAACACCACCAACATGTGACGTGTTGTGAAAAGACTGGAGAAACCTATATTTTTTTTCAATCAATCACCAACATGAAAGTCAGTCTAATGTAACAGGATTTTTTTTAAAAGTACATAAATGGACTTATACTTACATGGAGATGTCTCCCTACACCACCACCACCACCCCCTTTGTGTTCTCTTGTCTAAACTGACAAGAAGAGAAAGAAATGAATAAGAGGTTGGGTATGACAAACATCAGCTAATTAGCGGGGGGGGAAGAGAACATTGAGTTGATTGTAAGAATGCAGATGGAAGGACCTTCGTTTTAGTTCTGTTTTTCACAGGGTGTTGGCAATTTAAGCTGATAATGGTTAAAATATATCCAATTTTGAGCAGTATAATGCTTGTTTGGCATCGCACCATCATACTGACAATAAGAAATGTGCTTTTCAGCATGATATCCAGGAAGGGGAATGTGTTCTACTGTCAGAACCAGTGACGTGTGTTAACTTTGTGGGACATTATAGAAAATACACCAGCAAACCAGCTACTGATACAGTGAACTAAACAGCACATTCCTGAAACATTAAGCCCATTTCAGTTATATGTTTTTTATTTTATATGTTCAGTGACGAACAAGAAACCAGCTCAAGCTTCTATTACGAAGGTGAAGCAATTTGAAGGCTCTACATCTTTTGTCAGGAGAACGCAGTGGATGCTCGAGCAGCTTCGCCAGGTCAATGGTATAGACCCTAATCGGGTGAGTCTGAACAGTTCTAGAAAATGAAAATTGAGCTCTTTTGTAACTGATTTGTGAATCAGACATTCTTTCACTATTCAAAAGGCATCTGGAAAGATAAGGTACAAGTTTAAGTGCAAATTCTCAAAAGCTCTCAATTTCAGAAGAAATAACTCAATGGAATATGTGAAATAAATTTTAATGGGAAAGATGGGAGGAAGCCACAACTCATATGGGGCTTTTTCTTCCTGTCTTTCCCTACTTTTCCTACTCTCTCTCTTCTTTGTAAAGAGAAAAATTAGAGCCTTGTTTGCCTTGTCTTCAGCTATAAGCCTCTTGGGGTCCGTTTTGGCATGCAGCTGTGTTGCAAGATAGAGCAGTAAGTAGAAGCAAGGACAAGGAGAGGTTACTGAGGTTCAAGTTTGTGAAATATTGTGAACTTTGCGTTTTTTTTTCTAGGACATTCCTCGGATCGTTCTGCATTTCGTATCTTTTTCTACAAAGTGTGGTGGTGTGGTTTAGTTGCCAATGGCACAAGAACGTTGATTTAAACAAACAAAAAAAATGCCAACAAAAATAAAAGAAACAAACCAACCCCCCACTAAATAGTTTTGGAATTATTCCTTTAATGTGGAATATACAGCCTGCCTTGAGCTGTCTCAAGACAAAGTCGTACTAATATGTAATGAGCTTATGAATACAAATCTTCAGTAGTAAAACAGCAGAATTAGAAGTTAGGAATGTGGCTCATACTATGTGATCACAAAGTGACTTACTGTGTTTGTTGTACAGGAAAATATGTTTGTGACTGACCCCCTTGGTTGGTTCAAAGCTGTGCTCTGATCAGGCACCTAAGCATCTTAACAATGGTGCACCAAATTCTGTTACTACCCAGTACAGTCTTTTGTACAAAAAAGAAGCCCTATGGCCCCTGCCCTATGGAATGCAGGGAGTGGAATTACATTTTCTTTGGGTAAATGGACAATGAAAATGAGAGCAATGACAAATAGGTAAGGGATAGGAATTTTAGGCCCTTTTCCAGCATCTTCTATGCAGCTATGTAAACAACAGATGCTTGGGATACTCTTAGATTGAAAGTCCTATCAAGTTCTTAAGCTTAGACGTGTTCCTTTCAAACTTGTCTTCCTGTGACTTCCTAGTGTCATTGATTCAAAGAAAGCATTTACTAGATTAGACTAAAAAACGATATTTAGCAAAAATTGCTAAATATATAGCAATGCTTCTTGCATAAAATCAATTTACTTTGGCAGTTGGTGCTTGATTTAGAGCTGGGCTTTCATTTGTTCTAGGAGTACTCTTGTTCGTGTTATTCTGAGACCTATGCAACACTTCATGATAATACAAGAACTAGGACTTGCTATTTGTTTTCCTTCTTTGGCTGAGCATTGAGAGCAGAACCACATCTTCCATAATATAGTGTAAAAGTAGATTTTGTGCTGAGAGGCACAAATCCTTGCATAATATAGAAGACACATCTAACTATATATCTGTAGATAATAAGGATTTCTTATGAGTTTCTAACTTTTCATTTTTTTGGTCTAAAGTATTTTTGTTTTCAGGTATTTTTGTCATAGCTGAATATTCCGCATTAAAAATACCTGGAAGAAAAAAAAACTTCCTTCCTGTTTTGTTTTTTTGCATCCAAAAATATGCAAAGGAAAAATAATCCTAGGATAGTCTTGAGTTGCATGACCATTCTGCTTTTTCCAGCATAATTCCTTTTCAAAAATAATAGCTCTATATCTTTCTCCAAATCATTTATAAAACTGGAGTAATAGTAGTGTGTTTTTTTTCTTCTAGGATTCCCCAGAATTTGATCTACTATTTGAAAATGCTTTTGACCAATGGGTAGCAAGCACAGCTTCAGAAAAATGCACATTCTTTCAGGTCCTACATCACACTTGTCAGCGATACCTTACAGACAAGAAGCCAGAATTTATCAACTGCCAGTCTAAAATTATGGGAGGTAAGTTTATTGAAGCTGGAGTACTTCGTGCAGTTGGACATGAAATGATTTGCACATGAGTTATTCTGTGTTCAAATGAGCTTGCAGCCTAATTACATCTTGAAATCATGGGTCTGAATATGTTAACTTCACAGTAGTAAACTTGTAGGCTTCAGCATTTCTCCATCAAGCACCACTTCACACTCTTCCACTAACTTTGTTTCCCTAGTCTTCAGTTCTAGAGGCAACATCCCCTACCCACCTTTTGAGAAGTCATTCTCATCCCTCTTTTTAGCAACCTTGATTTCAATTTGTCTCTACTTTTGTTCATCCAGAAACATTTCTGAGTGGCCTGAAATACTTACACTAAAAGCCTGTTCTGCATTGCCATTTCCTCACAAGTCTGTGAAAAAGTGGTTATTACTAAACTTCCCATGGTTTTTTTGGAATTTACTTTTATCTTGACAGAAATTGGTTAGTTTAGAGTTTTGTTGTTTCATGAGTCACATATCTTAAGGTGAATTTCCAGAATTAGATTAAATAAAGTCTGGTTAGGTAGAAAAAGTCTGGTCAGTATGTGAAATTGGTATTTTCTATGCACTTCCCGAGCAACAAAGACTATTTGGGGGGGGGATTTCATGTATTTCAGAAAGTATTCTTCAGGAAAATAAACTTTTAGTTGTTCCCTTAGACTGAAATTTCTGAAAATAGTCTCCTTTTTGTCTGCTCTAAAACAGAACACTTTTAAAAACTCTTACACTTTCTATAGCTGGAATAAAAAAACCTGTTTTTCTCAGTGAGTCTCCAAACTGTAGAAGAGAAGTGCAAGCTGACTTGGGGTTTGGTTTAGTTGTTGTTTCTTCCCCCTAGTAGACATCAGTTATAAATATGGAGAGCCTTATTCAGTTATTTCTGGTAATTCTTCTCTCTCATAAAACTATAACACGTACCTGTACAATATTATCAGAACTATATTTTGTGCAGCCACCTTTATATGTTCTTTTTTCTGGCTGTTATATTGTCTTGTGTCCCTTTCCTCTAAAACACTAAAGGTAAACTTGAGGAAGGGGGAAATCATCTCCAGTTTGGTGCTTACATTTTAGCTACTGACACTGAGGTTACACCTAACTTTGTGGTCATAAGTCAGAACTGTTCTGTCAATCATACTTTTAGTGTCTTCTCAAACTAAGAAAAAAGGCACAAAATTTCTTGTAAACTTCCTCTCTCATTTTTTCCACTTCCACATTAATAGGATTTCCTTTGTTTTCTTTTTGGTGTGGTGGGGGGAAGGGAGGAGCAGTTTCTGCACTGATGGGAGAAGATATCCTCTACAATTTTTCCATTTCATATGGAAGAAATCTCCTATCAAGCCTTTGTTTGTCATCTGTTTGCTAATGATGCTCATGTCCATCCTTCCTGCTAATAAGTTAGTATTAATACAGCACCACACATTTCAGCCTTTGAAATTATTTTATTCTCATAAGCTTGACCTGTCCAAAATTGAGTTCCTGATTCAACTGACCCAAATATTAATCTTTATCCTAATCAAGTGTCATCACAGTGTGGAAAAAAAAAAAATTGCCACTGAGGTTCATAAACTTCTGCTCGACTTCTACTTTTTTAACACATATTAGACCTTACCATGTCCCATGAAGCATACCCGCATTCTCTCTGTTGCAACTTTGTAACTAAAATGGGCTTATTCAGCCATCCTCCAATACCAGATGGTGACTGTTTCCATATTCCTTGCCTGTCACTCTGACTGCACAGATGCAGTCTGTGTGTGTACACATATGGTACAGAGTACAGACATGGATGTGGTAGAGGGCCAGGGAGTAATAAATCTCGTCATGGATACAGTGCTTCTGTTGTTCTTCACACTGTCAACGTTTTCCTCACACTGGGTTACAGACTCCCTGTGGATAAGTTTAAATTCGATAGAAACTGTAATAACTGTAAACCAAGTACTGGTTGACCCTAAATTCCAGTGACTTTCTGTGTGTCAGCCTCACTGAGCAAAAAAATAAAAAAAAAAAAAAGAGTCCTCCTTAGCAAATAACTGGTATCAATAATTATAAAAGGCAGTGCAGTCATATTATTGGAAATTGTGTTGTAATATGTAAGGTGCAATAGTGTGTTTAAATGTCTGCTGTTCCTTTCAATATTCAGTTTGGTATTCTTAATGCAATGCTAAGTTTTCTACAGAAATACTGTATCTATACTGTAATTACATGCTTTATACATGCATAGAGGTAAATTCGTACTCAGTTCCAAAGCATTGTCCTAGCACCCATGCTGGTATTTCCTGAAAACATAGGTAGTTAATTATGAAAAAATAGATTAAATTAGCTTTTCAAACTAAATTGTTTTAGTTGTAGAAAAATTATTTTTCTGCCATGTTTAGCATTTTTCCTAATGTTCTCGTATAGATGGGAATATATTTCACAAATCTTTCCATCATCTTCAAAAGCTATTGCATTACTTTATATTTAATTGTATTTATCTAGTAAAGCCATGCCTCCTCCACTGATTAAAAATAAATAACTGTCATAGCAGCTTTGAAATATCTCCCAATTAAAGGCAGGTCTCCCTGGTAATATGTAATACTGTGAAGTTAGTTCAGTCACTGGGTTATGTTAGTTGGTCTGTTACTTTGAGACAAATGGAGTAATTAAGTGACTGGAAGCAGCACTATTCTTTGACTTTAGAAGCAAGTTGGTAGTTGGCAGGTGCAGACACTAGGGAGATACCTGCACTTCTGCTGGTCCTTGTTTGAAGCCCAGGGATGGGCCAGCTGTGTATCAAAACCCATTTAGTCTGAAACCTCCAGTACCAGAGTTTTTTATGGAAAATGCAGTGAAATGTGTTGTCGATCTCAAATTCATCCTGACTGGAGCAAGTAAGGTCCAACTGTAGCCAAGCAAACCAAAGAACATATACTTGAGGATACAGCTTGAAATTAATTAAATTCAGTTCAGAATTTGCACCCTGGTTATTTTGTTATTGTTTTCTTGGGGTATTTTGCTAATTAGCCAAAGCAGTATATTCAAGTCATTCAGTCAGATTTCAGATAAAGCATGTCACTTCATCCTCTCTACCAAGGTACCATTTATATTTTAAGTGATATTCTTTTGAGCTTTCAGGGGGCTATGAAAAGTAATACTCTTTTTGGATGGTTAGTCAGTTTAACTTCTCATACTCTACAAGTATTTTTTAAATAAATTATTAGAATATATATATGCATGCACCCATGTGCTTATGTGTGTCATGATACAGATATGCACATCATATATGTAATGTGTATCTTGTAGCTAATGCATATTTTGAAAACAAGACAAAAAAAATGCCACCAAAGAACACTTCCTCCCAAGTGGAACTGAAGATGAAAGAACTTGAAGGGCTTGTTTACAAGCTTACTTATCTTATTGAGCCTTATTTCTTCCTAAAGGATAGGAGTGAAGAAAGTGAAATTCATGCTGCTCTTGTTTCTGCAGGAAGTGCTTAGGAGCTTAGCTGTAAGTAAATATGGGTGTCCCTGTGGAACTGCAGACCCTCTTCATTGCCTTCCTCCTTCTACCTCCTTCCCCATACACACACTTCCTCCTACGGGCCACAGTCCTGGCCCTGATTCTTCTTCTCCAGAACTGTTTTTTGCTTTATTTTCATTTGAGTATCATGTAAGGATATAGTCTGTAGAGTTAAATAGGCTAGACAGTTTTCTAATGACATTAGTAATTACAGATATAATGAGAACTGATTAAAGGTGTGGGTGCTAATTCTGAGAACAAAGAACAAATTCAAATTTAGGAAGACTGTAGCAAGATTCCTCCCACTAGTATCTTGTACTAAATATTTCAAGTTTGTCTTTTGTTTAGAATTTAGAAGCGCCCTCTCCATAGCTTACGTGTGTTCTGGATGTTATTTTGGAGAGGAAAGGAAAGGCAGGTATTTGGGGGTACAGGGTTTCTTGATTGAGGTAGGAAATATTTTTCACTTTTGTATCTTTCTAACATACAGGTTCTGATACTGGAATATGTCTGATTTGGAGTATCTTTGTGTTAATTGTTATTCAGTGGCCAAGTTGAGCAGATTGTATTGCTTTTATCTCAGTAATGTAAAAAACAAAGTTGGAGATGAGTGGTGTACAGAAATTTTGGCATCTACAGGTTGTGTGTGTTAGAACAGCTTAATTCTTGACAACATTAGGCTGACACTGAGGGATAAGTTTGATTTCTTTCTGGATAGAACCCTGTGATACAGCATTTGACCCTCTTCAAACGATTTCTGGGCCTGTAAGAGTAAACAGTTGCTGCCACCTTTAGATATGTATTAGAAATGCATAATCCTTGGTAAGGAGCAAGACCTCAGGTTGAAGGAAGATGATGATCTTGTGGTTTTGTTTGGGTTTTGTTTCAAGCTTTGTCCTACCTATATGCGTTGGTTTTAACAGTCATTCTGCTGAATTAATTAAAATATTCTTAGAAGCCCAAAGTAATGACATCTTTGCCTCTGTAACCTTTTCTCTAGGACAGCTAGCAGGAGTTATTAATGGATCATTCTTTTCCTTCTCCAAGAATATATTGCCAGTGTGAGAATGGTAACGAGTACTTCTTTTTGCATACGCTATTGACTTGACTTAGCTTACCACATTTAAGCCCTGGGAAGCATAAAGTGGTGTTTACCATACTGTGCAAGATTAATGACTGACTAAAGGGGAGGAATGAAAACTTTCTATTGAGGATTAGGATGGGAAGAAGGACAATTGTTGCCCTCCCTTCTGTCAGATAACTGGTAGTTGTTGGTTTCAATTCTTACCTGATTTGCCATTGAAGAAAGTGTGTAACTGAAGATATTATTCTTACAGACTTTCACTTGTACATTAATTCTGATGCAAATTAAGTTGAACAAACAAAAAAAAGGACGAAGTATCTATCATGTGATTTTGGCTGTGTTTTGCTGTTTTGAAATTACCAATTGGATGAATCTTAGCAATGTTTCTGTACAGAAACAACATTTGTTGT